TACATGGTAATAAGGTGATGTAATGAAACTAATACTTTTATGTTTAAACCAGTAATTCATGACATCCTTTAATGACCTAGATTTTCCTGACATGCTGTTCATCTGCAGACAGAATGATTAAAGTCAGAACAAGATCTGCTAACAACAGTCATTCTTAGATATCACTTGTGTTCATCTTTGTGTTTTCCATTGACCCAGTATTAAGATGGCATAATAGTGTTTGTTAAACAGAATATATGAGAGCTGAACTGCCTCAGTGGAGCAGGAAACAGAGAGCAGGAGGTCAGTCTGATGTTGTTCTGTGTTTCCTGTTGTTGTAATAAAATTCAGCTGATCATTCCATGGACTWCCTTCATTCTTGGACCATGTATTTCTCTTACATATCAACCCTTTTGGATGTTTATCTGTATAAAAAGCCTCAAAAATCTGTACGTTTTGCAAAAAATCCATACAACTCACATGTGCGGGGAGGGGTGGGGGTCTGTCGGCTGCGGTAATGGAAGCGCCTGCTGTGAAGCAGGAGGAGAGCAGAAAAAGTTCAAAACTTATTTCTACCAGTAGAACGGTTGGAAGAAGGTTATTTGATGTTTTTTATTGTTTTTTTTAATCATCTCACAAGCTCTGACATGTTAGATAAATTTGAAAAGGAGGTTTTGAAAAAATCCGTGAGATTGCTCTTTACGTCTGTATACCTGCAAAATAACGTAACATCCTTATAACTTACGGATAATACGTACAAGTTGACATGTGTGATTTCTGTCTTTGTAAAATCAATATTTCCACGACATCATCACTACAACTGATGACTTTCTGATGTACCTGGGTCATGATCCGAGTCTGAACCAGGACTCACAATCTGAGGTCTCAGTTAACATGGATCCTACATGTCCAGACTGCAGCTAAGTCCCCAGACCCAACAGGTATTTTAAAATGTTCAACTCATGGACTTTATGACAGTCTGATGGAAGATTTCTGGCCTTATTTCTTATAGTCTGACAGCAGGTCTTCAGAGGACACCACAGTCCTGAGGGAAGGTTGTACATTTGTAACTGGAGCTTCCTGATGGGGCCAATACCCGGGTATGAGCCGCGGACGGACGGTCAGGCCGGTGTCACCGGCCCGGACCTCACAAAGGGCAGCAGTACCTAGGTAGTAAAAACTTTCCAGGCAAAGTACTGCCACCGTGTACACCCACAGGTGGCGCCGGAGACTATGTTTGGACTCAAGGCGAATTTCATGGCTCTGTCGAGTTTCTGATACTCTGATGGGGTCTCCATGTACATATGGCTGGAGTAAATGCTCATGGCTGAGAACTCGGCCCTCCCAAACTTTTTTTGAACTTTGACCTCCCAGACCCCCAAAAGTCCCCAAAGACCGCTCTGGAGCGCCCCATATTGGTCAAAAATGGTACTACATGAATTTTTTTCAAAATAATCATTTCTGGTCCCTGTTTGAGTGGGTGGTGTCTCTCTTGGGCCAGAAGACCCCCGTGACCTTTCCGTGACCTTTGCAGTTTTTGTTCACCATGTCACGTAGGAAGGTCGCACAGGCCTGGGTGAAGTATCGTTGCACTCGTGGTAACCCCCCGGACGACATATGTCAAGGTCAAAGGTCAAGGTCATCTGAAAACTTTTTGACCTCTCCAATCCACACCACATTTTACACACTTGTTCTGGTCAGTGTCCTGACCGTCTCCCCCAGTTTTGGAGTCTCTAGGTCAAAAGAGGGCCAAACGGGCACCAAAGACCCCCTTATGGCCTTTGCATCACCTTTGCCGCCATTTTGCATAGGAAGGTTGTATGGTCGTGGCAGAGGTGTCGTTGCGCTCGGGGTGACCCTCCCGGACAACATATGTCAAGATCAAAGGTCAAGGTCATCATTAAATTTTTTTGACCTCTCCGATCCTCACCAAATTTTACACACTTGTTCGGGACGACGTCCTGACCGTCTCTTTCAATTTTGGGGTCTCTAGGTCAAAAGATGGCCAAACGGGCACGAAAGACCCCCTCGTGACCTCGTGCCAAAAGTTAGAAGCCAAAAAGTGTTGCATTTCAGCTAGTGGCACTAAGGGTAATGACAGTTTGTAGTTGTTTTATCCCTCTTTTACCAAGTTAGCTTTTAGCTAGAAGGTTGTACTTCACAGGGCACTCTCAGACCATTAGTCTGTAAAAGCTTTGAAAGTATCAACCCTGTAGCTACTTCCTAGCCAAAGCTAGAAGCCAAAAAGTGTTGCATTTTAGTCTCAAACACTGTGTGAAGACAGGTTGTAGAACTTCTCCCCCCATTTTTCCAAGTTAGCTTTTAGCTAGAAAGCTGTAACTCACAAGGTACTCTCAGACCAATAGTCTGTAAGTTCTTTGAAAGTATCAGCCCTGTAGCTACTTCCTAGCCAAAGCTAGATGCCAAAAAGTGTTGCATTTCAGCTAGTGGCACTAAGTGTAAAGACAGGTTGTAGTACTTTTACCACTGTTTTACCAAGTTAGCTTTTAGCTAGGATGCTGTGACTCACAGGGTACTCTCTGTAGCGAATTATCCCATGAAATTAGGACCAGCCTATTTTTCATAAAGGTAATCCAGCAAGACCTTGCAAAAATGAAATCAGAAATAATGAAACACCGATCCNTTGGATCACGTATTTCTGTCTTTGTTAAATTAATATTTGCCATAACAGCTAATATTATGAAAAAGTGAACACTGAGGCAGAATGAGTGTTTGTATTTGTTTACCTTATTAGCCTCGGCGGCTCGCAGTGCTGTGTAGAACTCTGCATCTGCCTTGGCTTTCTGCCGGGCCAGGAAAGCATTATCTGTCAATTACAAACAATGTTGAGAGTCACAGCTGTTGCATGTGTGAGCTACAAATAAATAACTTGTTCTCAGACTCCAGAAAATCAAACAGCAAAATCAGTTCTCAAACAAATCAGGTTTTACTCATAAAACCCATTTAAAGGTCACAAGCTCTGAAGCTCTAATTTACATCATCATGTTGGTAAAGTTCAGCTTTTTTCTTTCAAGTAACCACAGGTGGTGAACAGAGTGGGACAAATATGTAAGGGGTGTAAGAATATATCGATACACTGAAATATCATTTYCTGATACTGTACTGATTTTAGTACTAAGAACCGATGGCTGAGCAGATTACACTGGCACCTGCCTTTAAAGCTGAGGTGTTTCAAAATAAAGAAAGCATTAAGGAAGATGATAAAAGCTAAGCTGTTTGCAGAAGCTGCCACGCCAGAGTCAAACACACAGGTGACACAACGAATCCTCAAGCTCTAGGCTTGTTGCAAAAGGCCATAAATCAACTGATTGTATGATAAATTTAAATTAGGTCAATATTTTTCATTTTACTGCTTGTTTTTTTTCATGTCTCTCTCTCTCTTCTACTCCTTAGCAAAAGGAAGAGTGAACTCTGGCATCAGGTACCTATTTGCCAGGCTCATGGTCTCTAACCTCTGTAGCATGAGAGCATCGTGAACAGGCCTAGCTAGAGGAGCGCCTTCAGTTGTCTGATGCCTCAGGAAACCCTCAGGGGCCGGGCACTGTGACGCACCTTAGATTCGCAGAGTTTTTGTTTTACGTGACGTAAATTTCAGAACATTCAGTAAACTTTGTAGGCAGCGTGCGGGTGATCGCAATTAATTTACAAAGCCAGAGAAAGACACACAGAATAAATTGCATCGGCTTGGATAGAGGAGCTGGGCAGCAATTTTACAGCTTTAGTAGCTGCTGTTGTGAGCTGTTTTCACAATCTCTGCTCCCGGTCCGTCCGTAACTTTACGTAAATTTTGTAAACTGAGGCGTGAGGATGACCTCAGTTATATGATGAAGCCAGAGGAAGACACAAAGAATAAATTGTACTGGCATGGATAAAAGAGATGGGAAGAGATGTTACAGCTTCAGCAGCTGTTGTTGCATTGTTTTCTCATTCTTCGGTCCAGGGGTCTCATGTATCAACAGTGCATATTGTAGGGGTCACCTCGAGTGAAGAAACAGGAGTTACTGCCTCAAAGCAGGTCTCGCACAGGCCTGAGGGAAAGGCAGGAATGCTGAACTCTTATTTTAGGCCATGATGGGTCATTTTAACCTACACGAGGACTTCAGTTCTCTCTAATCAGATATTAAACAGAAACAATCTGTGCTGTTCATGATTCATTGGTTGTTTAACTAAGAATGTTTAAGCATTTGTTAATCATAATGATGACTGTCACAAAGAA